ATCGACGTCGTATGCAACCACAAATTTTCACGGAAATCGAGAAGCTGGAATCCGGATACTATCTCGCCAGGCACATGATTAACGCTCAGGTTGAGCGTCTCCACGTAGCCCTTGTGTTCGCTCTAAAAACAAAAAATTGTTAGATTTTGTGTACATTTGGTGTAGATTTGGTGAAGATTTGAACGTCGGTGTTGTTTGCAAAGCCATTCTGTCCACGATCTTTTCTGGTAGCGCCTTGGCTTCGATGTACATGTTAGCGCCGGATAAAGCTTTCCCTTTGGTCCTTGGAGTACACAAACCTTGCTTTAATCCACCCACAATCACCTCACCTGTATCGATATTGTTCGCGGGACTTTGAATAATCCACCTTGTTGCGAAAACCCGCAAAGGTGGAACATCCGTTTCGTAATTGCAGGTACTCCGCATGTACACAACGTGTCTGCATGGCAACAGACACGTCGTCATGAAATCGCAGTCGCACGTACACATCTGCAACCATACAGCAAACAATAGTCAGAAATCAAAATTACAAAACCAAATTTTAACCAAAATCTTGACCAAATCTACGTACACGAACGTTGACCAGACGCACACGACCGCTGATGGGGCTTTCGACACGTGCTGTGTCTGCTTGAATATCCACCACGTAGTCAGCATTTGAGCCTGTGGCCAAAGAATGTTCTCTGGAGCATAATTCGAACGCAAAAGGACTCAGTTGAAAGGCTAGACGTGTCAGCTCGACTCTCTAGACGGTTGACTTCCAACGCGATGGTACTCCGCAAGGTACTGTTCCTCTGCGTACTCCTGCAGGGTTATTAGCGTCGATAGAAGCTGGTCCATAGTGAAGGATCCATTGATGACGTATTTAAGCTTTCCCCACTTAGACTCGATGCGGTTGTTCGTGTTGTTGGTCAGGTGAGGCACGTCTCCACGCAGGTAAGCAACCCACTCATCCTTCGAGCAGTCCCAGTATGTTAAGAAACTTTTGTACAGTTCGTGAGACGGATTATTGCCGAGCCTTTCCAACAGGGCTCCCGTGGCGTCGTCATACTCTTGGGGGTTCTTGGCGTACACCAGCAGCCGCATGATACTCTTCACGTCCTTCTTCTGATCTGGCGCCAAACGGGTTGCTTGTTTCTTGAGCCACGTAATGACGTGCCATTGACAAAGGAGCTACCGCGCTTCCGGGAATTCCTCTTGCAGAACCTGTTTCTCGTGCATGGCCTTGTCGGTCATGAAGAGACGAATCTTTGACGAGACTGGATTGTTCTTTTTAAAAATCTTCACGACGTGCCGCAAGTTATCCTTTTGTTCGCTGTCTACAAGTGCATGGTGGACATATTGACCCTATTACAGACAAGTAGAATTAATTCTTTTTGAAATACGTATTCGTATATACTTTTCCGAATACATCATGTACAACGAAGCTGAACAGCTTGTACCGGTTTGCATTCGTGTCGTGTGTGGAGTCCACAAGGACAACTTCCGGAAATGCCATGAAAAATCTCTTCATTCGGGCCGTTTGGAACGTGGCAATCCGGACAATATTGGTTTCTGGGTCCACGAGTACTTGAGCAACATTCCCCTCGTTCTGCCCCGAAAACTCGTCCAGTACCTCAAACGCACGCTGGGCATCGTTCAGTCCAGCTTCCGTAGCAGCTTTGTGTCGTTGCACCATATTATGAACATCTCTCAGAACGGTTTTTTACCTGTACATACACAACAAATCCACACCAAATCAGTTCCACAACAAACAAAATCTGCACCAAATTTGAAAAACCAACAGGTCCGTTCCCGAAGATAGAGAAGTATACCTTGCGCGTTAGCGCCCGTCCTATGCAGAGTGGCCACGTCACGAGTTAACTCCACGTCCTTCATAGTGCGGTTCTCAGCGTAGCTCTCAAAAGAGTGCTTGTTCAGAGTGTGGTTGTGATCACCACTCGCGTTTACACAAAAGTGCCACGAGCCAATCAGGGTCATGGTCACGCGTACGTTGACTCTAGCCATGCACTTTGTGTCACGGACTCTGTTGTGGTTGCGCTTTCCTTTGCCTTTGCGCTCGTACGGCTGTCCGTGAGTGCAAACCAACGTCTTCGAGTATACCTTCCAGTCTTCCTCCGGGATTAGTGTCACGTCTTTCCGCGGCTTCTTTCCAGCGCGCTTCCTGGCCTTACTTGACGTCACGATCTGCTTGTTGCGTATGGGCACGGAGGTTGTAGAACGGGTTGTAAAGCGCTGGTACGTCTCGCTCTGGAACGCGTGAAAGGCGTCATGGAACTGATCCCAAGTCTTAAAACGGCTCTTGAATCCACGAAACCACAGCGGCACAGCTCTCTTCACACGAAGATTGTAAAATCTGTGTAATTTGGCGTTACGTTTTGTGGAAATGACACCGAATCTTCAGTATCGTTGCTCCCTTCGTCTCTTGATCCAGGACTACGTCATCAGCGCTTGCATTTTCCTCGTTTGCCGAAATCCCACTTTCTTTGTCATCACGACCGTTCTCTTCTTCAGTCTGTGGACACTCACTTGATGCACCTCTGTCACTCGGTGGAGAAGGTTCGTCTTCATAGTCCGAGTCGCTGTTAGGATAGTTCGCTCTGCTTTCCGTGTTCCAATCGAACTAGATGCCAAATATTGCAGTCATTACCGTCTTCTCCCACCCTTCAACATGACGTCTACGCGTTTCCCGCTGGACCACTCCGTCACCATCTCCATTTCGCAGGATCGCAGCTGCGTTTCTAGTCAGCACTTGTCTGCCTTCCGAAGCCAGTCGAGTCTCCTGCCGATCTATCCGAGCCCGAGCAACCTTCTCGGCCCGATGGGCTTGCATCACGCCAGCGTTATTGACGGGTTGTGGCGGCATGATCTCAGCTGGGAACTTGCGCTTCTTACGACTCGGCAATTCATCCGTGGAGACTACAGGTATATCGTTAGCCGCATCTTGCGTCCAAAAAGTCCTCACCGGTCTGCATGAAGGTATAGATTGTGTGAGGAGCAGCAGTTACGACCAGCAAGCGCAAAGATGAATGTATCGTGTCAGCCATGCTGGATCGGTGATCTTTACTGCGTGATCTGCGCCCGAGGGGGAAGATCGACGAATGGTAGCTGTGAGCCAATGGCGCAAAATTTTAAAAAATCAGGAAAGTCCACCGTCATGTATTTATTATCTTTCCTCGTCCCAAGTTCAACCCAAACCACCAAAACTGGCTCTGTCTGCTCTACAAAATCTACACAGAATTTAACATGATTCGCACTGAATATGCATCCTAAATTCAGTGGTTGCAGCGTGTGCCGAAAATCCGCTCGTAACTGCAAAACAGCTCAAATAGCGCAAAACTCTGTTTACACAATCAAAATAGACAGCTCAACATATCCTAAAAACTACTTTCTGCTCAAAATGCACTCACTTCTCCGCTGACTCACGCTCAAGCACTTCGTGGTATTCAGGATAATAGTCAAGTCGCGCCCAGTCGGGAGGCTTGTGCGGTCTGTCCTTTTTCGAAACGGAGTGATGATTGACGTATTGTGAGTTCTACTCGAAATTGGATTGGACGATTGATTGAATCGCCTCGCCAAATCGCCCATCCCATCTAAAAGCATACAAAATGCAAGTGCAGAGGCAGCACTCTGCGTGCGGAACCACTTCAACCTTGAAGACGACCCAGTAGTGTAGCTGCCACTAGGAAACAATGCCCCGTAATGGATCGGCTCGACGCAAGCGAGCCTCACGGCGTGAAGTAGATGCATCTCTTTACCGCAAAGGCGGCATACCTCGACTGAATTAACTCAAGACAGCGCATCACCTGATAGTCTCAGTTCTCGACGAACGTCACATGAATCCTCGCGCCCCGACAACAGCTCGCCGCCTTCTCCAGTCAGGAAAAAGGAACTGCAACAGACCAGCAGCTCCAGCTGGCGAAGACGACAGCGGACCGCTGCCAGCTTCAACCAGGGAAGAAGATGCCTCCAACTCGCCGGTAACTATAGCGATAGAAGATGACCGCAACACACCAGCAGCTCTAGCCCGAGGAGAAGTCAATCACAACTCGCCGGCAGCTCAAGCCATAGAAGATGGCTCCAGCTCGCCGCCATCATCACCAAGTGGGTTTGCATCACCAGTCCAGGCGAACTCTCTTCAGGTTTCGCGAGCAAGTATCGGGCACGCAGCGTCATCGCCAGCTTCAAATCCAGCAGAAGGTGTCAGGGATGCCCAGTCTGCTAAGCGATTTCGGCTACTTGTACGGCCTATTATCAAGAAGACGGTCAGTCAGTGCGATAAGTCTGGCAAAAGACTTGATGACTTCGTCGCAAATGGCGATACCTTCGACGAGATCATTGAGAACCTGTGGAGAGAGTTTAGCGAGCACGTGAAAGGACTAGCGGTCAATGATGATGGGCATTGGTCCGTCGAGCCCCCCGTGCAAGCAAACTGGGAACTTTTGATGCAGTTTAAGCGGGGAAAGCACCTAGTTGACAACACTAAGAACGAGCTCGATTGAACCAATGGCTAACAAAATCAGGGGAGAAGACCGTCATCTTACATATTTTTGAGGACGGATCAGCGGTATCGACAGCCAAAGATCGAGATGCGTTCTTAGCTGCGTGTATCCTGCCTGAACAGACTGATCGTGCCGGAGCTACTGCTGAATGCTCGCTTCGCGATGTTGCTGCTCAATTGGAAGAGCACTGGCGCTCTTCGTTTTCTACAACGACAATTGGACGGCGCTTGTGGGCAAACTACATCACTCGAAACCTGAACCGTTCCACGTGGCAGGAACAAATCGCAGACCCTCCACCGGCCCACCTCATTCATCCCCTCCGTGCTCCGAGATCACAAGTTCAGGAGCAAGCTCAAGATCTTGCGAAGTCTGACGAAATGGCGCTAGATTGTGTGCAAGGACGTTTAGCAGACGCCGAAGAGCTCCATCAATATGTGAACGGGGTTCTGCTGCGATTGGATGCTCAAAAGAAAGCTCTGATTTCGAAAGGAATATAATTCAAGCTTTTCTGGCTGACGTAGACCTTCTGGCTGTGTCTGATGTGATCGATCCATTTTCACGGATGAAAACCCTGGAAGACACCGAACACCAAGAGTAGACAGGCGTTTTAACTACCCCGCATTCATCGCCGATTAAATCAAATCCCAATTCATCTTCTGTGTTGTTTGGCTCCACACACTCCCCCCAAAACTCAGGCACTTCTCTCTTCTCCGTCGACATTGGACCACTGGGATCAAAGCGGCCTTGCACGTTCCATCCGCAATGCGCAAACACTCTACCCATGTTGAAATGTTCAAATCGCTGAAATGTCTGCACCGCAAACGGCAATAAATCGCGGCCGCTGTTTCCGTCGTAGTGCCGCTGGAAAAACTTCTTCACGTTGCCAAACATATAATCGATAGGATTGAAAAACAGGGAGTAGGCTGGCAGAAAAATTGGCACGATACCAATGCTCCTCAAAATGTGCACGAAATCCGGGTGTCTGTGCATGGAGGCACCATAAAGAATCCACACGGAGTGAGAACCTGGATATTGACGAACAAAGTTTTGCGTTTCGTATACGCAAAGTCCTGGCAGCACTTGAGAAACTCAACGCGATCAAACGTGCCTTGGGTGTCAAAGCAATCAATTAGACCACTAACTCCGATGAAAGCCAACACAGAAACCCGTGGTTTCCGTTGAAAGTCGCCTCGAATTGCCAGTTTTTGTCCTTTCAGCGAGTATCCCCGCTTCCTGATCATTCCCCTATTATCAAAGGACATTTCATCGAGAAAAACAAGGTTGTGATGGCTCCAGTCGACGTGATCCAGTTCCTCAACGAATCGAAGCAATCTCGGTCTTTAATGTACATTGCACGTCGCTCCATACTTTCCATGTCAGTCCACAGTCGTGGATAATACGCCACACGGAGGACTTCGAGACGGTGATACGATGTACGCACCGGAAGGCATCTTGTGCCCGTCTAGGTAGGCTAGTGGGTGCGTCGAGTAGAAAACACACAGCCATTTGCGATGCTCATCTGTGAACTTCTTGACTCCGTTCGTCTGCGCTCTCTCAAAAGTTCCGGTGGCCTCATACGTTCGGATCCAGTTGCCGATTGTCGTCTCACTTTTTGTGGATACGAAAGCGAGCTGCTTCTGAGACAAACCATGCTCGTAGAAGGCGTATAAACAATTGAGTACTGTGTTGGGGTGTGCGTGCCCCTGCGTCACTGCTCTCTCCATGAAGCCTACGCAACAAAGACAGTCCAACCACTTACAGACACAGCAAGGTCAATTACCTTTTCGTGTCATGCAAGCTGTAGTCTACTACGCTCTCGCACCGCGCGCCGGTCGTCTCCTTCGACTTCAACGGTTTGAATTATGACCAATAAGTGGAGTTAAATTGAAATTTTAGCCAATCATGGAAATTGGTTCGATTTGAAGGCCAATTGCCAAAACGCCCAGCGCATCCAAATTTAGCCGGGATTGACAATATATATGCTAACATGTCCACCTTGTTTATCGTCAACTTGTTTCGTTTCTTCGAATGAATAAAGTCCGCGACGCCCCACGCACGTTCACTGGCCGCCGAAGATGTCGGAATGGCGAATACAAGTTTGGCAAGCTCCCACACCAACGGGAATTTCATCTTTTTCTGGTACCACCAGTCGCGAGGTTCGGCACCTTCATATTTTCTTCGCTGTTCAGGACTCCATCCTCGCTTTTCACTAGCAAAGCGATACAGCGCATGGTTAAAGTCTGTCCGTGTAATATTAAAGGCCAGAATTCCACTTCTTTCGGCAAAGTCGAAGCCTTGATTAATCGTATCCTCTTTGTCAGACCCAACAAAACAATCAAGGCCTGTATGTGGATCTAGAAGATAGGCTTGTCCTATTGCATTTGTGTGTACATGTTGCCAGCGATCTTCCACAGCTGGCTTGAATGTGGTTTGGTCCGCATTGGTACCATAAGCGGGGTGTTTCAGCAACCATTGAAATCGCGAGTACACGTACATGTGTCGGACTGCAACTCACGGATAGCTTCAATTACAGATCCAAAATGCCACAACTTGTTCCAACTTTCTCCAGAAGCTTGCATCCTTAATTGCCGTTTTCACTTTCCCGAGCTTCTCCTTTGCTGTTTTGCAGGACGCGGATCTCCGGATTAAGTCAGCAAATTGAGGTTCAGAAAAAGTTTCTTCAGAACGCTTTTGTTTTCTAAAACGCGAAGCAAACTCACGTGAAGAGAATACTACCGGGTAGCGACCGATACAGCCAGTTCTTGATGACGACCAATCGATGTCTCATCAAGCGTGGTTATAAACTGACTGAGAATGGTGTGGTGATCTCAAACGTAAGTCGTAATAGCAATCGCCCTGGTTTCAACGGTCTTGAAGAGTTCATTTTTACATATGTCTTGAATCAGCAAATTCAGAATATGAGCTGCACAGCCTCTTCCGAATATTGGTAGAGCCCTCTCCAATATTTTCCATGCAGAATCCATGTTGCTAGCATTATCAGCTAGCACGCCAGCTACAACAGCACCAGTCTCGCGTTCTACTTCATCAATGACTCGACCGAGGTGCTCAGCCAAATACTCGCCAGTCTCCGAAGCTGTCCCAGTTGCTAGTAAACTCCAGAAAACAGACGACATCCTTGGTGCTACAACCATAAAATATATTATGGTTGAATGATTCACACTAGTCCGTGAGTCTGTAACTATTGTGACGCATCGTAGCTATCGGATGAGGGCCACTGCTCTTTCATGAATTTGATCGCGTGCGGGTCGTCGTACTGCATCACTAAGTCGATGTCTGGAAGGAAATTTGATTCCTGGAACCAATAACTTGAACGGTTGCCGAAATGCATCAAAGTCCACCAACGTAAACGATAGAGCGCCTAAGTAGAATGTGATGGAGTGGATCCCAGAAAATTGGTGTTGGCATCACTGGTTGGCTGACGTACCCAAGTCAACTGACTCTACCGTCCCATTTAGAGCCCATCAAGAGACAGAAAACGTTGGTCCTGTTGAAGTTGATGGCTGAATGTCAATAAGGGAAGAAAGTGGAAGATGTGACCAGACCAAGAATTGATGGATTCACCCTGGCAGATGACGAGATGTGACCTCGAGAAGAATGCTCCTGACTGTGGATGGATGTATCTAGACTACTCGGCTCTCTATGATGTGTGATTGTCTATTCTGGGAGCTATTAACATTATCGTGGTTCGGTACGGAAGGGATTGAGAACAGAAGTGGAAAAGTCTGACACTATTCTCAGACTACCCATAGCATTCTCAAACTTGAATTCTTCGGAAGAAGTTCCGAGTGATTGTGTATCGACGGACATAATGATTGATTGTCGTGAGATGTTGATGGAGAGTGTCCAGGTTGTCGCCGATTTTGGGGTTGAGACAATTCCGGGATGTGGCGAGCATGACGGATTCCAGAATTGAGGCTGGTATGGATTCCCATACTATTCTCAGACTCGATATGATATTTACCGATATGTCGGAGACAATATATAGTTTGGGAATTCTGGAATCTCGAGTGGTATCAGAAGGTTTGTGGCGAAGTCGGTGAAACTTTCGCCCCTTGGCGTATTGTGCTCGCTCTGGTCCTGAGACTTTACGAGATTCGGATGTACAGAGGGTCAGAACTCCGAGAACCTTTGGGAACTCTGAGTTTGGCGTGTGGCCCTTGTGTATAATCCCTGTGGATTGAACCTAATATTCGGGAACCCTTGGTCTCGACCGTCCGTAGATAGTTTATAGGAAGTCTGTGTGCTTAGCGTGTGACTCACTCTCTGAGTTAACCACTATAACTGAAGCCAAAACCCCAGAACACACTTCTCTTAATAAGACAGCCAAATACAATACAGATGACTTTGAATATACAAATATGCAGCAACTAATTATTCTTATAGACCCTTGAGTGGGGTGTCTGTCACCAGTCCTACTCGGAACTACGACTCAGACACTGGTCAGTCTGAGTCGCTTCCTCAATCACGCGCACCACCCTCAGAAATGAGGGAAATACAACTTAATACAGGCGAACTCTGATTCCGCAGTCTAATAGAAGCTCTAGGGGCTACGAACCCTTAGAGAGCAATCGTTAACAGGAAATGGGTACCTAACCTTACCGTTCACTTACAGTAGGCCCAATTGGGATATGGAATGCCGTGTATCTCCTCAGAACACCGTCGTGTCTGATCCTGTAGTGGGACTATGGCTCACTAGTTAGCTTACACGTGTGCGCACGTGTAGGAGGAAGCGTAGGTGTTCCTAGGTTGTATAGCGTACACACGGTGTGTGTGTACGGTAAGACAAGATAGGAGCTAGATAGCGTAAAATGAGAACTGTATTGTTTCTTTAAAGAGGTTTCCTTCCTAAAGTGTTTATCGAATATCTAAGGGACTACCAGCGGGTGGTTGACAGTGATTCGCATCGCTGATTGGTAGAAGTGTGACGCACTCTACCAATAGAATCCCTTCAAATGCAGTCTTGGTGTTTGAACACACCAAGACGGGAAACCTCTAACTCTAACCGATTAGCGTTACGGTTAGAGTTTCGTGTAACCCCGTTACACCCGCCGTTAAGATTTGACGTGCTGGTCACAACACGTCAATCCAAGCCTTGACGAGTTCGTCAAGTTCTCCGAGAGAACTCCGCGCTCATTTCGAAATGAGCGCACCTCTGCGACCACCAGCGTCTTCGCCAGCTTCCGCAGCGACCGTAGCGTCGACTCCAGCACCCGTGTCAGCGTCCGCACCGACCTCTGAGTCGGTGCCTGCTTCCGCGCCTGTGTCGGCGGTAACGCCGACACCCCTAAGTGGCACGACATAGAGGAACTTCTCTGTCGACAAGTACTTCGAGCTCCAAAAGAAGAAGCTCGAGTTCGAGGCGAAGAAGCGCGCTGGGGCCGCGACGACAGCCAGTCCGAAGACTGTCTTCGATGGTTCGTCGGTCCTTTCGACTGACCGTGGTATCCCCATGGACTACGAGGAGGGAGAGCTTGAAGATTAGGGTACCTCGTCTTCCTAGTCACTCCAAGCCTGCGGCTGGGTTTCGCCGCCCCCTGAAGATGATTCGGACCCTTAATCTTCGAAGCGTCCGCGAAGCGTTAGTGATGCAGTGCCTTCCACACCGGAAGCACTTGTCATCACCTCGGATTCGCCAGCTATTACGCCGGATCCGCCTGTTGTTCCGTCGGAGCAACGTGATGCCCCGCGCACTGACGACTCAGTGCGCGAACCTTGGATGCCGTCTGAGAGTGTTATCACAGCACGGTACGAGCGCACGGTTCCTCCGAACATGATATTGTTGTACGTCGACAGTAGAATTGTCGACGACGCTGAAGTTGCGTCGAAGCACTTTAAGCCGATGACGAATCAAAGGCGAGATTATTTTATCTCGCGTTTTCACGAGCTCCGGTACTGAAGCTCGAAGAAGACTTCAGGGTGAAGCAGAGTGCCCGAGTGGCAGGCACTCTGTCAAAGCTGGAATCAATTTGTTGAAAACTTCAACGAAGACTCGACAGCTTATCGCGACAGAATCGCTTCAGCTCGCAAGCGCTTCATGAAGTAATCCGTTACTTCTGTCGTCCAGTGCGTTCACGAAGGTTCGGTGAACGCGAGTATTCCTTGTACAGTGCCAGTGGGCATCCATTGCTCACACTGTCCTCCTGGTGCTCCCCGCATCAGCGAGAGAGACCTTACCCGGTACACGACTAACCGTGTACCTGCAAACGTTAAGGAGCTACGTGCTAAACTCGCTTGGACGCGTCAGCATCCTAGTGTTGTGCTCAGGCACAACACTCTGCAAAACGCTGCGCCCCGCAGTGTTTCGCCTCCAGTCCATGGTGGGCTTCCTACTCCCTCACCATTTCCGGAACGTCCGTCATCAGGATGTTTCGGGGAAACCACGTATCTCGAAGGAGATCCGATTGTCTCCAACGAATACGAAAATGAACCGGACCTCGGTTCGTCTTCGGACTGGTATAGTCTACAATCCGATCCACCTCGCGGTGGATATAAACCGCGGACAGAGTTATGCTTCTGTCGGCGGTGGTTGACGCTCATCAAATGGTCAACCCCAGGTTGACCACAGACTTCAGTCGCTCCACGCTCGTGTGGAGGCTCTTGAGAGCGTTCATGCTGTTCAGATCGCTAAGCTGAACCAGCAGCTGAACTTACAGAAGGCTTACGTGGCCGAAGCCGCTCAGACCACCTAAAACACCCGTGTTGAGATGTCGGAACAAGTTCGCCTTCTTCGTGAGAAGGTGAAGAAGTTTGACGAAAAGCTGAAGTCGCGCCACGCGTCGTCGTCGGCGAGTCATCACGGCTAGGTGACTCGGGCCGCACGTACAACGTAGAACGTTCGGTGGAGTCTCATGTCGGAAAATAATTCTAATGTGTATCCACTGCCGTGCCCTTTTACCACCGTGAACGGTCCGATGAAGCGCGGAGCAAGCAAGCTTGCTCCGAATCCGGAAACTGCATGTGTAGGCAGGTTTTGAGTAGACAACCGAACCAATGAACCAACTTTGGATTCATTTGTGTTGCCCCTGCCCACACTGCCTGTGTTCAGCTTCTGCCTATCCGCAGAAGCTGCAATTGCATCTTGTATAAACGGAACGACTGTTTGTCGTTCCTGGACAAAGTCCAATGCTTGAGAGCTGAGCCCGGGTCCAGCTCATTGGCCTTGTCCGCGTCTGTCCCCTGCACAGACCCGTCACGTGTGTTAGCATCAGTCCCAGACTGTGCGTGGCTCTTTGTGGTGTGTGATCTCAGCAGGCCCAGCTCGTGCGTGAAGCTTTTCAGTATCGATGCCCGGCATCGACACATCACTTGTGCGTGCAACAGACCCGGCCTGTGCGTGAGACTTCGAGGTGTCTGTGCCCCGCACAGATACGTTGTCCTTGGTCGAAGCATGTGCCGCCTGCTCGCGGTTCTTCACAGTGTCAGCACCCGGCACTAAATCGTCGCCTTGTCGTGTGCGGGCTCTCGCTCTCGCACGTGTCATAGCAGCTGATAGGTCCGTATCAGCTGTATTCTGCGGTTGTTCGAGCACAACCGTAGATCCTCCCCCACTTAAAGGGGAAGCCACCGCCCCGAGCGTGCTCGGAAGGCGTGGATGACGCATGGCGTTCCCAAAGAACGGTGTATGCCCACTCGAGGCATGTACCGCGTTGTTGATGGCAAACTCGGCCATCGGCAAGTAGTCGCTCCAGTTGTGGAACGACTGGGCGTAGCTCTTCAGCAAGTCCACGAGCACGCGGCTCACGCACTCGGTTTGCCCGTCCGTCTGCGGATGATCCGCAGTCGACATTGAGAACTGCGTTCCAAGAAGTGTGAACACTTCTTGACAGAAACGCGCCATGAAGCGTGGATCGCAGTCCGACACAAAGTCGCTGAGAATGCCATGACCATGTCGACGAACAGACGTGTCGTCTGTATGGAGGTCACTTCCGCTGCGACAGCAGCGAGATGCACCATCTTGCTGAAGCGGTCAACAAAGACCGCAATACCAGTCTTCCGCCCGAAATCGCGCGGAAGACCAAACACGAAGTCCATCTAAACAGACTCTCAACACTCCGAGTGGTTGCAGAGGAGTCTGCGAGTGAGGTGCAGGCTTCACTCGCTGGCAAACATCGCAAGTACGTACGTACTTACGCACCCACTTGTACTGGTGATTCCAGTAGAAGTCTCTCGTGAGAAGAGAATAAGTCTTCTCACGTCCCGGATGTCCTGCCGTGGGGACATCGTGATACTCGTACATGATCCTGCTGCGCAGGTCAGGATCGTTCAGCACGACCATGCGTTCCGCATTATCGTCTACAGAGCTGTAAAACAGTAGACCGTCGTGCACACGATACCGGTGTGCACTCGCTCGTAGACGACGTGCTTTGTCGGAAGGAGCTGAGAGAAACTCGATCAGCTGCTTCGCGTCTGTGTCATGGGCATACGCGGCCTTCACCTCGTCCAACAAGGACGACGGCGGTGCATATACCCGAGCGACGTCAATCCAGTTGACGTCGACTGTCTTGATAGCATAATCCGGTTGTCGCGACAACGCATCCGCAACGACATTCAACCTTCCGGGGTTGTACTCGACCCGGAAGTTGTACTCCGCGAAGATGGACAACCATCTCACCATTCGTTGCGAGATGTGCGGAGACTTCACAGCCGTCCGTAACGACACGTGGTCCGTATAGACCACGAACGGCGTGTTGCCGAGTAAATATCACACTCAGAACTTCGCGAGTGCTTACTTCATGGCAAGGAGGTTTTTGTCATGCACCGGATAGTTTCGCTCAACTGGCTTTAGCTGATGCGACTGGTAGTAGACGACTCGATCACGGCCCTCGTGATCGAGTTGCATTAACGAACATCCGATCGCGAAATCGGATGCGTCACGCACTACGTGAAAGGGACGATCTTCGTCAGCCACAGCCAAGATCGGCGCTTCAGGCAAGCCCAGGTTGACTGCATCGAACGCCTGCTGACACTCAGCAGTCCATTCCCACGCAGCTTCCTTCTTCAGAAGCTGCGATAGCGGGCGAATCTTGCCTGTGTAGTTGTCCACGTACTTGAACAAGTACGTGGCAAGGCCACGAAACTGCCGCAGTTCGTTCACGTTTGATGGCGTAGGTCATTCATTGATTACTCTGACCTTCTCGTGGTCAGAGCGTACGCCATTCTTTCCAACGAGACACCCTAGCACGGGTATCTTGCTCGCACCGACGATGCACTTCTTCAGGTTCGCATAGAGCTTGAGCTTGCGCATGAGCCCAAGCAATTCCCGGAGATGCTCCTTGTGCATCTTGACGTCCGTCGTCTCGTTCGCAGCACGGATGGGAACGTACACATCGTCGAAGTAGCTCGGTGCGAAGTCGCGCACAAATCACCCTTGTGGCTTTTTGACACAGAACGTTGGTGCGCTGTGCGGGGACTTTGATTCCCGCACTTGTGCCTTGCGACGACTTTCGAAGAAGTCGTCGATCGCATTCACTTGCTCCCGTGGTAGTGGCCACTGCCGCGTCACGCGATACTTCGTCCCCGACACGAGATCAATCTCGCGCTGTATTCCCTTGTCCTGCGGAAGCTCCGCAGGGATCTCGTCCGGGAGCACGTCTCTGTGCTCTCGCAGAATCTCGTAATAGGGGCTCGACTTCAGTGAGTCCCAACTCAGCTCCTCGAAGCGTTCCTTCTTCGTCTTGGCACTGAGAGTATCTTCACTCTCAGTGGCGCTTCCAGCGAAGAGTTGTCTCAACTCCTCTGTTTCGCTTGTCATTCTTTCGCGGTCCGAAAGAATGCATAGTAGTTCGATGCGTCCATCGTACAGGTCCTTTGCGAAGCGCTTCCAGCTCATGACTGGAAGCGAGGTCAACTCCGACGTATCAGTCAGAGGGTTCTTCAACTCCATCGTCTTGTACTGGTACCCAGCACAGACCCGCGTCAACACGTTCAACGTCTCGACGGCCACTGTTGGCTCTTGTGTCTGCCCGGCAGACATACCTTGAAGAGTCTCGGTCCAGGACCGAGACTTGCGCGACGTCTTGTGCTTGCGCCGTCGCTTCATCTTGTGAATCCCGGATTTACTTGTGTGTCGTCCAAGCCCGGCCATGGACGAATGTTCCTTGATTCCACCGGCAGACATTCCAGTCTGCGGGCGATCGCTGGCGGGTTCTTGTACCCGCGGGCACGCTCCATCAAGCCCGGCTTGATCGCGCCTTGCTTCGTGTAGCCAGGCTGCACGAGAGCACGCAAGCTTCAGTGCTGGACGTTTGCAACCGTCCACACAGCTTGTCGCATCGACTCCTGGAGTCGATGCATTGTCGTCACCTCTACGCATTACGGCGGAGCAGTGTGTCGCAACTCCCGGATTTGAAACACCGTTGTCACCTCGACGCCTTACGGCGGAGTCCCCCTGTCGATTTTGATATCGAGTGCGTGTCAACTCCCGGAGTCGACACGCTGTTGTCATCTCGACGCCTTACGGAGGAGAATTTCTTTGTAGTGCCTGATCCCCGACCAGACACTCCTTTTCTGGCAACGACTCCCGGAGTCGTTACAGCCCGCGCACTCCATGCGCTACGACCGGAGACAGTGACGCGAGCCGCTGTCTCTGAAGGAGGTTCAGACGCACCGTTAGGTGTATCCGCTGCGCTTACAGGGCCATCGCTCTCTGTTGTGCCGCGGCGTCCAAAGCGTACGACTGTACGCTTCTCCCAGTCTATAATAGGATCATGCCGTGCAAGCCTTGGCATGCCCAACACCATGTCGAACTTGTCGTCCAAGTCCAGGACGAGAAGTTCTTCCAGAAACACCCGGTGTTTGTACGAGAAGCGTGCGCGAATTACGCGCTTCTCTGTCTTCACGATGGCCCCCGTTGCCAATCGTACTTCCAACTGACGTCAAGGCACATGCCTCTCCTCGAAGTCCAACAACGGTTGACTTTGCTGTCAAACAAAGTTGTTTGACGCGCCCGAGTCCACCGACACCCGAAGAGAGTCCACTCTCTTCGTCATCGACTTCAACTTCAAGATGACAAGATTTGGCATGTCATCTTGCACTTTGCAGTGAGTTTCCCTCTCACTGGGGGCTGCAGTCCTCAATACCGCGTATCCGTTGTAGACACGCGTGACTGCATTACCGGTAGGGTGCCCCGCGCCTACTGGTCCCTTGTGTTTTTTGTTCGTCCGCGACGATACCCAGTATCGCCACGTTGACCTTGGCTTGAGTGTATAGGCGCCGCACACTCACGTGCGTAGTGACCCATATTTCCGCACCGGAAGCATCGCACGTTGCTTTCCTTGTTCTCCTGCTGTCCGACAGCAGGTGCATACGAAAGATCCATTGGATCAGGACCTTCCGTCTTAGCCGCCGGCCGAGGCGGGCGTGGCACGTTCGTGTGCAGTTTAGCCTGTCTCAGGCTAAACTCCTCTTGCATGGGGAGGGTTATCGCAGCTTCGAGAGTACTCGGGTACTCTCGGAAGAGATAGGTCTTCACAGGCCCATCCCTCAACTCCTTCATGAACGTGACGACCTTGGTCGCCTCGTCCATCGGGTCGGTCACGGCATTCAAGACCAAGTACCGAGCCCGTTGGGCGTAAGCATGACCATCTTACTTACCCTGTTTCAGGTCGAGAAATTCCGCTCTCGACCGGAACTCGTTGTGGGGGGGGCTCAAACGCGAATTTGAGCTTCTCTTTGAAGGACTTGTACGTGCTGAAGCACGTAGGATGGGTGGGTCGGCGCCCGTAGTCGCGCGTTCGCCAAGACAAGACATGGCGAAGGCGATTTTCGCCAATGGGTGGACAAGACGTCGATCCTTTACCGGCAGTGTCAAGTTCGACAAGCCAACGGAGAAGGGTCTCACCTTCTTTGTCCATGTAGTTTCTGATACGTAACTTCAGGTATTCCTTCCGCAGTGTCTCCCCCGGAGACACTGGCTTCGCGGCAGCAACCTCGTGTTGCTCTCTCATGAAGAACCCGAGAGCAACACCATGTCTGTCGGCGATAGCGTGCGCAGCATTGTCGCTACGGCCGCCTCTCCAATGACTGTTGACAGTCGTTGGAGCGCCTACCATTTTGTGTCTGCCAGGTAGGGACAGTCTGTACGCGCCACACGCGAAACAGACGTGCTTGGGCTTCCGACAGACGACCCGTCCATCGAAGATTCTCTTGCCCGTGTTCATAACTCATACGAACAAGGTAGTCGGTCGTTGGATGGACTACAAAGTGCTACCAGGTGTAGTGGGTCTAGGGCTCACTAGTTAGCTTACACATGTGCGCACGTGTAGGAGGAAGCGTAGGTGTTCCTAGGTTGTATAGCGTACACACGGTGTGTGTACAGTAAGACAAGATTGGAGCTAGATAGCGTAAAATGAGAACTGTATTGTTTCTTTAAAGAGGTTTCCTTCCTAAAGTGTTTATCGAATATCTAAGGGACTGCCAGCGGGTGGTTGACAGTGATTCGCATCGCTGATTGGTAGAAGTGTGACGCACTCTACCAATAGAATCCCTTCAAATGCAGTCTTGGTGTTTGAACACACCAAGACGGGAAACCTCTAACTCTAACCGATTAGCGTTACGGTTAGAGTTTCGTGTAACCCCGTTACAGATCCCCTCCGCAACCTGGACTTAGTACAGCTGGAGATCTTCACGATGCACTATTGGTACCTATCCTGCGCGCCTTACAAAACCACTTGTGCTTCACAAGGTAAAAAGCTCTCTGATTATCTTCTCTTATACTGCTAAAAACTTTTCTTGGTGTCCTATGTTCCATATTTCACTTGATCGGTTTGGATCCGGGGTAAATATTTTGGTTTCAGTATACCTAAGTCCACTCATCATAGTTGAACTTCAAAATCCCTTGATTCCATTATATCTCCACATGGTGTCATCAGATATGTTGAACATCACTTCACTTCGCACTGACTTGTCCCCACTTGATTGCGTTACATTTTCGGTCGGACCTCAGACTCTAGGAAGAACTGAAATCTTCTGAGTTCCGTCACTTGATAGCTTGCTATGACTTAGAGTCTATCGGAATACACTTGAATCTCTGGATCCTGTCTCATTTCATCGTATAATCACGGTATTCGTAGCGTAATATCCATATAGACGTAGACATCCTTGGTTTCAGACACTTTAGGGTCAGGCCTCGTAGATTTCCTTCGGGATCAGAGATTTCCAGCCGGTATTCAGAGATTATTCACGGAGGTTTTGGACACAACATCGGACTCTAGGGTATAACATTCCACACTGCTCGTAGAACACATCTCAACTCCATTTGCTGTCCATCTCCTCTTGGATCGTGAGTCTCGTGCCTTTGTGGTGATGTTCTGGAGGTTGGGGATAACGTTTCTTGGGTCGAGCTAAGGCAATACGGGGTGCTTATTGCAATACGTTTGCGCCAACACTTTCCACAGTCATTAATACCCGTAGTCAGGACGAGGCCGAGTCTGGTCTGAGCATCACATTGCTTCCAGACTCTAAGGTCCATCCTTAGCTCTCTTCCATGTCACCCATTCTTATGACATCCCACAGTCACTTTCCTTTTCACGCATCACTCTAACAGTCTTGTACCCATTACCTAATCTCTGGATATTCCTACGAATCCTCATTTCCACCAAAAAATTTAAATCACTTCGTGTCAGGTTCCCAAGGGTCCCAGAATAGAGTAGCAGGATACAAGTCCCAGAATTGGTTGCAAGTTGAGGTTGCGTGAAAGGTCGGTTCGAAAATCTGCATCACATCAGGCACGCCGTGAAGAGCGCGTCATCTCAGGTTGACGGAACACTTCGGTTGGAGTAATCCGACATGCTCTGACCAATATCAGTGTCTTATTTGACTTAAGCATGCTCCTGAGATTCAAGTTGACTGCGCTTCCGTGATGAGTGGCTATATTCTCACCCTTCGATTGTTATTTGACTTACAATTTGTAGCGGGACTGGCGCCCGAGCTATGTAGGTTCCCGTTTGCATGTGTTAAAACTTAATCAGAATCCAATTTGCCTAGAAGGACGCAGGAGAATTCACATCGGTGAGCGTGCAGGCTTAGCACGTGTTCCGGCATCATCCTGAAGGTTAATCGTCTTCCAATAAAACTCAAGCCAATTTAGCAAGGTTAACCTTACTTTATTTTGTTGGGTTAATTGAGTTATTTCATATTCTGTGATATTTGGACGGTTGTTTCGACTGGAATTCGGTTGGTACTTCTGGGAAGGAGGTGACCTTCCATTGGAGCTCTCGCGGTATTGGTGTTTTGTCCCGGCGCGAGACTTGGACTGCATTCTGAGCCATATTTGACCTTGACTGTTTTTGCCTATAATAAGGCGTGATGCGCGACGTCCCAGGACAAGTGGACGTTCCTGGAATTGACGAGGTCCAAGGTGGACCAACTGAGACTCCCAGCCACTCTCGGATCGGAGAGGCGAGTGACGATCCCGGAACGTGGTCCTAGTTCCGACCGCGCGGAGGAAGAGGAGGAACTGTTAACGGCCAAGTCCAAGGCCGTGGAAGAGAAGTGAACAAGTGTGTGTGTGTGTGGTGTGTTGTACTGCATATCAAGAAACTCGGGGCATATCGGGTTTGTTTAAGCACATTCAAACTGGTACCTGCCGAGCTCAAGCCTAAGTCTCGCTTGGACAGCGTATTCTCGGATCACGCAAGACCAAGAGCAGTCGCTGTGGCTCTCAGACTTCTGAGCCCAAAGCGTGATTCACGAGAGAGGTTGCACACACCATTACCAGTCCTTTGCAGGTCTTTGAATTTACTACTTTTGAGTAGTGGTTTTCCGACCGGTCATACCTGTGTGTAAGGTCACCGGTGCATCACAAGAACATACTAGTCAATGCCATGTCAAATTGTCGCTGTTGAGCTGACGTTGGCGCAGGTGCTGATAACGGTGCTGGACCCTCTCCACTAGTTGAAGTTGAACTGCGGTCAGCAATTTCAGGTTGCGAAGTAGCTGGACGACGGTGAACGTCCGGGTAGATGTCGATCATGCTTTGCTTGACAGAGGCAGTAGCACTAGGACACGCCTTCAGGTGTCGCTGCATGTTTGTAGTAGGCTGAGCGCTGCGAATAACACTATGGCAAACTAACATTCGCCGTGTTGCTTTGATGATCCATCCGTAATCTTCTCGAAGTTTTGCCACATCCTGTGTTGAGGGCGTCCGCCACGTTGGGGAGGTCGAGAACGGGAGGGCCGCAGCTGAATAAGGGGCGAGTTGGACACGCGTCTGGCAGCTAGTCGAGGCGATCGACGGACCGGGATTGAAGTCATGGGCTGTTCGTCCGGAAAGTCGTGGGCCATGTCATGGTCCTGGTAGTCGTCTATCGTTGTGGGTATGCTTCTCAAAGCCTGGGAGTACTTGTCAGAGCGAGGAATCTTGCGAAGTGTGAGAAATCGACGAAGTCGAACTTCGTCCTGACAGCCAACTTCAAGTGCTGAAAACCAGTTGCGAGGATGAATTTTGAGTAGTTTTGAGTAGTTTTGATTTTCTCAAAACGGTTTAGAGTGATCAGAATGTTTTGATGATTCTGATTTGAGTCTGTTCTCTTACCGACCGTGACCCAATTCAAGCAACATTCGCGCCACATTCAAGAGCTTCAACGCATCTCAAGACGTTCAACCGCCAGAACGCAGCAGGATGGCGATCGTCGGCGTGTCTGTGCTGCTCTTCGCGGCGGCCTTCGTGGTCCTCAACATGGTTCGAGTGCCCGTGTACGAGGAAAACCTGAGAAGCGCAACGTCGATGCTCGCTGCGTCATCGATTGCTCCCTCGCAGATCCACGTCGCGTTCGCAGGTGAAGTTCCAGTCAAAAGTTACGCAGCCATTAGGACGTCTAATACTGAGGAATTGGAGCTGCGACTGGGGATGACAATCTCTTGGGCGACGGACAGGAAGACAGCGACGTCCTCGGTGCGCTACGGACTGTCGAAGGACGAGTTGTCCAGTGTGCAGCTAGCGGAGGAGCCCTGTGAACAGTACGACTTCTGCTCCTACACGTCTCCATGGCTGCACCACGTGACGATTCCTGGAGACAAGTTGAGCCCCGATACGACGTACTATTGTACGTGGTTTTAGTTGAATTTGGTTGAGGAGTTCTGACAATTTGGTTATTGTAGATCAATGTGGTGATGCAGCTGGGGGATGGAGTACTGTGTACTCGTTCAAGACAGCTATACCGGTCGGAAGTGAAGCTCCGCAGACGTTCGGTATTATCGGAGACCTTGGGTACGGAGATGTAGAAATCTGTGGATTTGTTTGTTCTTGAGCTAATGAATGCGTCTTAATGCAGACAAACAGAATACTCGAGGCAAACTGTGCGCCATCTAGCTGGGTATCAGACGAAGATGAGTGCTATCGTGTGTGCTGGTGATCTCTCGTACGCAGATAGTGAACAGTACCGATGGGATCGATGGGGAAAACTCATGGAA